CCGGCTGGGTCGCGCACACGGGCGATGAGGTGTGAGGTGCACTGCTGGGCAGTGGGCGCACGACAGCCATAACCGGGCTGCTGGGCGCAGGTCTGGATGGCGATGGTGGTCTTTGGGTGTTCAGAATGCACACTGTGGGAAGTCAGGGGTGATGAGGAGAGATGAGATACATACACGGTGCATGAGGGAGGTCAGCTATGGTGTTGACGTCATGTACATTTGTCTTCAAGGCCGAAGTGAGCCTGTTACATACCTGGTGCATGAGGGACGTCAGCTATGGTGTTGACGTCATGTACATTGGTCTTCAAGGTCGAAGTGAGCCTGTTGCTGGTGTAGTAGGATAGGCGAGTAGTGTAGGCTGGGCGCTGGGCGCCAGACAGAGTAGGAGCGACATTGACATGGCATTTTGGCTGAGGTGGCACAACATTGTGTTGTTTTGTGGTACCGAGGCTATGACTGGTCATCAAAATGCATGTTGGCTCAATTGGTGAGAAATCTGTGGTTGGGGCCAGCTAGCTCGAGGTACGTTGTTCCCTTACCTTATCTTCCCTCTCAATCTCTTCTTACCATGAGGAAGTGAGTCCAACCTTGAGTGTCCTCTCTTTTGTGTAAGGAGTCGTGAGCGCTCTACCTTGAGAGACGACATTCTTCCCGGTGGCGCATCTGGCAGGAGAGGGTGGTGCCTTTGAAGGGCCCTGGTCGAAGCACGGGTCACGGTCACCATGCCAACCCATGGGAGTAGAACACGCAGGCCATGTTGCTTTGTCCATTGAAGGCTCTTTGCTGTGCTAATAGAGGAAATGTGGACTGACCAGTCCTTCGCAGACGCTTAACAGACCGTCTATAAATATTTTTGGCGCGGATCAGATGTGTCCACTGGTTGTGATCGTTGTCATGTCTACGACTTTAAATAATTCCTGAGGACCTTGGGGGTTGTCCTTAAACTTCCTCTTGATCAGCCAGATCAGTCAGACGTAAGGCCCGTTGCACGCAAGGATAAATAAAAGAGCAGTGCTGGTCATAAGCGAGTTCCTGGGCACAGGGGTGGGCCGCTAATGCACACCTTAGACACCGCTGCTTGATGATCATCATTGGTATGTTGGATACAGGTGAGGAAGGTTCCAATTGGTGCTCGAATATTATTATTATTATTATTATTATTATTATTATTATTATTATTATTTTTAAGCAAACTGGGGGAGGCTCCTTCTATTGGTGGGGAGCATCACCTGCTGGAAAACGGGTCAAGCGTCCCTTATACAGAAATTGAGAATGTCTGAGAACAGTGGATTTTGAGGTCTGCCATTGATTGCCCTGCACCTCAGGGGATTGACTGCATTCCTTGTACCTCTTCACACTCATGTGAGCGGCGCCAGATCTCTTATTATAAACTGGTACTAGTTGAATATATGATCATGATAAAAGTGATGGATCATCTCGTGATAAACCCTGTTGAGCAACTTTGTTTCCTATAAACCAAACCAAGAGCTTGGAACCAGAGCATTTGCTGGGGGGGGGAAAGGATCAGGGAATTCTGATATTGGGCGCATAGGTACTGAAGTGTCGGTGGTGGTCCAATCATCAAAAACCAATTTATAGTCCCTTTTAAGTCCAACATTATCATCATTCATTTCCCCATTCCAAACAACACTCCCTATTCTCTTTCCCTGGTTTCCACCCAACCACTTACTTGTGAATTTTCGAAAATGATTCATAATTTCAGTTTTATCTGAGAGAAATTGAACTTTTTCTTTTATTTGATCCCATTTTATCAAAATGTCTGTTTGAATTTGCTGCTTAATTGTATCTGTGAAGTCTGGGCCGTCTAACCTAGCCCCTTCCCATTCATAAGTACACCTTCTCATCCAGATGGCCCACATAACCGCTCTTCTCCCTATTTGGAACAGATTATCTATGAATTCCTCATTTTCTTTTACTAATTCTGGATCCGAGCTCCAAGTTTCTAGAAGTATGACTTTCCATCCCCATGGCCATTTGACTTGTGGGACTAATTGTGACCAGATACGGTCCCACCACCTCCAAAGCTAGACCGAACATGGACACTGCATAAAGATATGCTCAATGGTTTCCGGGGATAATCTACTTGGGAAAGCAGATTTACAAAGTTTGCACCATCTTTCTGCTAGTCCTTTCTGTTCTAAGGAGGATCTGTCAATGAGCCAATCGTTAGTTGGAAGGCATCTATGTTCAATTTGCCATTGAAGAGAAGCTATTTTTGCTGGTTTGTCTTTGACTGTTTTGAACCAACGTACCGGTCTCAGCTCTTCTTTACTTATATTAAGTTGTTTCATCCACCTTGTTGAGACCCTATCTTTCAGATTGATTTTAGGACGCAACATACGATATGCTGATTTGATTTTGAGTGAATATATATTCCTCTTGAATGATCTGTTGTGATTTCTTTTTTTTTTCTTCTGAATTTCATACCCAATTTGTCGGGTCAAGAGGGAGCTCTGAGATAGGGCAGTCTGGCTTGAATGCAATCCATGTGTCCTTGCTCTTAAATACCCTTATCCTGAAGATTTGTTGAACCTGTACCTATCTTGTTTCCCCTTGACCTCTCGAAGATGCAACATTAGTGGAGGATAATGAAAAGATATGTAAGAGAAATCTTCCATTTTGATCGTTGTTCAGGATTATGCCAATTTCCTGGGTTTGGGCCTTAATAGTTACCCAATCATTTGTCATAAATTTGGGACCACCCTTCAGAATACGAACCCATTCAAGTGGGATGAGTTCAGTTATCTTCTCCAGAGATTCCGTCTGATGGTGACAGTACCTAAGCTGCCTCCTTAGTTTAGGTGGATCTATCAAATCCTTGGTATCCTTATCCCATATATCTTTAATTCTTATGACACCGTTTTTAATCCATCCTTTCCAAGGTGTGTGCATACAGTGGAGAACATAACCATTTGAATCTCGAATCCATCTGTTGTCAAATAGGGGCTGCTGACACACTTTCTCCCACCTTTCTGATGATAACTTGTCAGTTAGAGGAAGTTGTCTCCAAGTTTTCAACATGGAGACCCAAAATGGGTCGTTTTTCAAATCTTGTATAACAGCTTTCCTACCTGAAATCGTGGTTGTAGTTGTTGGTTTAGAAATCCCCCTAGGAATAGTCCAAGAACGGTTCTCTAACCAGGATAATGGGTCAATTTCTTCAGCTGTAGGGGGTGCAAGATGTTTGATTTGTTCCAAAGCTAATGGAGCCCATGGGGTCTGTAAAATAAAAAGCAAACGTTGGAGCCATTGGATTGAAAGAGCCTTGGTTTGGATTGTAGGGTCAAGAATCCCCAAGCCACCCTGCGCTTTTGGTTGGATTATAGACTGCCAAGCTACCCTGCTGATAACTCTATTGTACTCATGATTTCCCCTCCATAGGAAGGCAGTTAGTTGACGCTGGAGAGGTTTAAGGAAGTCTTTATCCATAGCCCAGATTCCTGACTTATACCAAATAGATGCCAGAATGACATTATTAATGGTCAATGACCTCCCAAAAATAGACGTATGTTTGTTTTTCCATACTTCCATTTTTGCCTGGGCAGGTTGGGATATCCATTGATTATGATTCTTTGGTTTCCCTTCAGCAGATAAAGAAATTCCCAATATCCTTATAGGAGTGTCTAGGGGCAACCATTTTATCCTTGGTGTATCTGGGGGTCTCCCTCCTTGGTGATGGATCCACCAACCTGTTGTTTTACTACCCCAGTTAACTTTCATGTCAGAGACGCGACAAAACTTATTCATCAAATTTTGAATTTCTATCATGTTCTCATAAGTTGCATCAACCATAAGGGAAAGGTCATCAGCAAAAAGGGAGCAAATTGGTATTGCTTCCTCTGGTATGTTGGTGACCTGAATCTTGCGAATGTCTTTGTGATGACGCAGATTAGCCGCCAATGCTTCCATGATAATGACAAAGAGAAAGGGCGCTAACGGATCACCTTGTCGAACAGATCTTTCTAGTGAAATGGGGGGTGCCAAATTATTATTGACCATAACCCTTGTGGTAGCATTCTGGTGTAGGATTCTCACCCATCTCCTAAAATTTGGTCCAAAATTCATCTTTTCCAAACACTTATCCAAAAAAAGCCAATCTACATGGTCATAGGCTTTTTCAAAATCAATGAATATGAAAGCCGCATTATGTTTGGATTGGCGGGATATTTTAAGGAGTTCATTTACCAGAAGAATATTATCTTGAATATTTATACCCTTTATAAATCCAGTCTGAGAAGAATGAATGATTTCTGGAATTATCACTGACATTCTATCCGTTAATGCTCTAGCTATTAGCTTATATACCACTGTGAGAAGAGTGATTCGCCGATAATTTTTTATGTTTGTCTTGTCTCCTTTTTTATATAGTAGGGTAAGTATATAGTAGGGTAAGTATTCCCTGACCAACAAATTCTCCCATTTCCCCCGATTCCCATACTGCTTGGTAATAATCCATTCATTTTTCCATTTCCACATGCATCTGCGCAAATGATTTATTTTATTTTGATTAGTTGAGGTGTGACAAACTGCTAACACCTGACAGACAACTCTAGACCAGAACTGAAGTAGTCTACCATTGCCAGTTATGTTTACTGCTGTTGTTGGACAACTAATCAGAGAGAAAATTGGATCATTTGCAGGAGTCTGTATATTTTTGGTTGACACCGCCTGAACTGCGTTCTGGGATACGGACCGAATATTTATTTTATTATATTTATTTTACAAATCGGTCAGACCCTATGCTGTGGTAATCTCCAGCGAGGACACTCGTGTAGACAGCGGTCTGCTATAGCTGATGTGGGAGTGTAGCAGTGAATAGGAGGGAGTTGACTACTAGAGCCCTTAGGAAGGTTGCCGTGTAGAAGGTTTGTTGACCCCACTGAAAGCAGTGTGTGGTGTTGGGTCTAAAAGGCAACAGCAACAACGGAGCAAGACATAGTAAAGGTTGTCGCAGGAGCAGTGGCATAAGGATCCAGCAGACAAGTCATGCAGGCTGATGCACTATCTGCTCAAGTAGGTGTTAGTCAGACAACAGTCTCAAGTCAAATGGCGAGATCGCAGATCAACAAGCCGCTCCAACTCACGCTAGTCTACCTGGACATTCAAGAGGCATTAGACATCCCTATTCAGCTAGAAGCCGATGTCAGAGACGCAGAGCACAAGAAGCAGTGGATTAGAGATAGGGCCATACTAGTTAGTGGAGAAGACAATGGCAAAGTTAGGTTAGAGGGATTAGAAGGAAATGGACTCAGTAATGCAAAGCAGGATCTGCGGGCATGCGAAGTAGGCATGCAAGAGTCCATGTCCATGCGAGAAAGTATGGACACTTCTCTCCTTTCCAACCAGGTTCAGATACAGAGGGTGGACAATAGAAGTGGACAAATTGGTACATCCTTAACTGTGTCGCTCTGTGTCGGGACTGAAAGGCAACCTTCACTTGTCTCATCGTCGGCGATTTGAATGCCGCCGGTGTCAGGTCTTTCTCTAGCTAGGCTTGGTACTAGTCTGTCAGACGGACAATTAGTTGTAGACATGCATGCTCAGTATGCTTTTTTTTCTTTCCTTCAGACGGCTGTTTCTAGAGAATAGCTGCACATACCCCAACCTGTGCAGCAGTACAGATTGACGGTAGGACCCATTGGGTTCCAAAGACTACGTTATCACAAATTGTGTTCTACTGGTTTAGGAAGGACGAGGTCCCCAGCAACAGGTTGGGAAGGGTGCCAACGCACACTAGGTACAGTGACCTGCGTTTGGAGAGAGAAGTTCATGTCACATAGGTAGGATGGTTAGATGGGATAATGCAGCAGCGCGGTCATGACCGGGAGACGAACTCTTGGGCTGAGGCTCTAAGTCCGGATAGCCGGTTTCAGCAGATGCAGTACAGGACCCATACCGCTTTGACTAAGTTGTTAGTTAGAGAGGCCACTGCAGATGTGCACATCTTCTCTTCTTTTAGGAAGCTAGCCTTGGATGTAGAGGTTTGGCTTGTTAACGTGGGTCAGGGTCAAGGTGATAGGAGGAAGAAGAAGTTAACCCAGGATCAGGAGAAGAAAGGGGTTTCCCTACTCTACACAGTTCCTGATAGGAATCGTGGAGAGCTAGAGGTAGTCTACGATCTTGGGGGTTAAACAGAGCAGTAGACGACCATAATACTTCCGAGGGAGGAAAGTTGGTCGTTTCAAACAAGGCTGAGGAGACTGGCTTGCCGCGAAACAACCAGCTGTGTATCTTTTGAACGGAGAACGGGCGGAATTCAATGCCCGAGCACCCGTTCAACGGGCCTTAGGACCTCTGTTGAATCGCGTTTAACGCGAAAACGTGCGTGTCACGTCAAATTCCGAAAAACGGAATTCGCGCGTTGGGCCTCGAACACGTGGCCCTACGCGCCCAACCACTCAAAACAGGCAAAAAAAAAAAAAAAGTTGACCCTTATGAACAGGGTGGGGTGGCAAAAAATGCCCCTCCCTCCCGAAAATCAAACTGCAAGCGGGAAAAAAGTTTGGGCCACCCCATACCCCAACTTCGTGAGCACATGTGTGTGCATGTGGGTGCATATCCTTTTTTTTTTTTTTTTTTTTWCAAATGCTCCAATCTATTCGTCCAGGCTCATTTCCGAAGGGCCCCTACGGTTAGCAAGGACCCCTCACGGAGTAAAGATGGACATTAGACTTGTAGACTGCCTGTGTGGGCTGAGAATATATAGTCAGGATTCGAATTCAGGTCTGTGGCACCCTGTGCATCAGAGTTATGGGTCACTTATTCTCTGTTTTCTCGTTTTTCTTTTGTTTCTCTTTTTTCTTTTGTTTTCTCTTTTTTCTTTTGTTTTCTCATTTTTCTTTTGTTTCTCTTTTTTTTTTGTTTTCTCGTTTTTTTTTTTTCTTAGGAATACGTGCAGTGGCCCTAAGGGCCTCTACTCACCACATGCTGCAAGGCCTTCCATGATTCAGACCCCAAATTCGGGTCTCAGGGTCAGAGGCCCTGGCCAAAAAAAGGCAGAGTTAGTAAATTTCAGAAAGGTCATACTCGGGTACCTTAGCAGTCCAGTCCAATAGGCAGTGCCACCCAGCAAACAGTCACATCTTAGGGGTAAAAATCACGTTTTATAATGAAAAGTCATATTGAAGAGTCACATCCCACGAGTAAAGTGCAGTTCCACAGGCCAGAGTGGTGTCCTAGTGGCAGGAGTCACAATCCACAATCAAAATTATTTGCCAAAATAAAAAAGTCATGACTCAAAGGCTTTTTGGCGTCTTTTACCGGCTCTACAAGTGGCAAAACATGCAGGTCTGCTATGACAGATTCTGCACAATGCGGTACCTACTGCTGCATTTCTTTTCCGCCGCCGACGACAAGGTTCGCCCTTCTGTACAGCCTGCTCGATTTCACATTTGGTTGAAGATCAACACCATCTTTGGATTACTTGCAAGAATGCTAGATCTGTTTGGGCACACCTCCTGCATCAATCCCCTCTGCCCCTTGAATGGGGCGACTTGTGGACGGTAGACTCAATCCTGTTTGGAACGGTTTCTCTTTACCTCTCCAAACCCCGAGCTTATGTCTATGAATCATTCAGAGCAACTGTTCTATGGCACTTATGGCGACAACGGAATGATGTGGTCCTTTCTCATGATACTCCGTCCTCTCAACAGGTGATTTTTTGTATTAAAAAAGATTTGAGACACATCATCTATCTTGACTGGTTTCAGAGAATTCCAAAATCCTCAAATTTGCGAGTTGGGGTTCACTGGTTTCGTCAACATTGGGCTTCCTGCCCTTCCCTTGTCACCATTGATGCTTGTTCAGGTGATTTTACTTTTGGTTCTTTTTTGCAGTCTTAGTAATAGAGTCCATTGATGAATGGTTTTAGACGATTTCAGTTTTCGCCTGTTGTGGCGGTCTTTAATAATGATGACACATTTCTACATAAGTAGTCTTATTGATAATATCTTTGCTTCTCACCAAATAGGATTATTGATTAGGTTAGTCTAGAATTGTTTAGTGGGTCAGTTACTGTTTGGTTTTTGGCTGTGTCTTTGGTTAATACAGGGACCTAGCTGTCCCTGAATATGGCTTCTTGCTGATTTGTTTTTGTTCTGCCTTGGGCACAAGGCCCCATAATAAAAAGTAAGGATAATGATTTAAAAAAAAAAAAAAAAAAATTCGGGAAGGTTCCAGGCTTGACATTTGAAAGCAGACAGGCCGTGGGCCTCTACTTTTTTTTTTTGAAAGCACAGGGTGTTGTAGAGGCCAAGGACCAGACCCACGGTGATTGCTGGTAGCAGCAGCCAATGGTCGTCCCTACAGGATAGGCCACCTACCCTACCCATCCCCACGTTAATACTCCCAGCGCACCCCCTGTCCCTACTATCCTACCTCAGTGTGACCAGCACTCAGGACCATCACCCTACCAGTATTGAGGGCAACTTGGACCAGACAGCAGTGACAAGCACCAGGGCTGGGCCAACCTCCCAGCCCTAATGGAAGCGGGAGCGGACGAACCTTGCCGTACGGGAACTTCGGACGCCAGGCTCATGCAATCTTCTACAGGCCCAATTCAGGGAGTCTACCCAGCAGGATTACCTAAGCAAGGCAGGCCAGTGCCCGCGGACACATCCTATCGTCCTTCCCCTAGCATACCCAAGGCTAGGCGGAACTCAGACTAGTCGGAGCGACTTATATCCCTACCCTACCCTAGAGCTAAGCCATGCATGTGTAGACCCGTCATGCACATTTGGTGAGTACTGCAGCCAAACCCTGAGAAATCTGCCAAACACTCATTTCATTTTTTGTTTTTGTTTTTTTTTCATTGTGTTTATGTTTTTGATTTTTTAAAAATATACTTGAACATCAAAAAAGGAAAATAAAAATATAGGGTTGTAGTCCTCGAAAAGACCAACAACCTAGGTTACCAGTCGTCCGATGGCCGGACGTCTTGGCCGGACGTCTCCCCCAACCGTCCGGTAGGGGGGTTGTCCGGGATCCCGGAGAACCACTTTTTGGCATTAAAAAAAAAAAAAAAAAAAAAGGGATGTTCTTGCGCAAGACTGGGAGGTCCCCCCAAAAAAGTTTGGGGTGATTTGGAG